TGGCCTAATTATTAGACATTCATTTTGGAATTATTGCACACAAATATCAATGTCTTCGCAGCAACAGTTAGATAGTTGTTTCTGGTTTTTGTCAGTCAGTCAGTAATGTTGTTTTAAAATACAATAAATCCCTTAAAAACAATTTGCAGCGGTGCTCAATCATTTTTGGTGGGTGCTCCTAAATTTTTTCTGGTGCTCCTAAATATTTGAAGTTGGGAGCACCGGTGCTACCAAGTAAAAAAGTTAATTTCGAGCCCTGTTATGTTTGTGGACTTAATTATATAATTAAAGATTTAATGAAGTTCTGTTTATTATTATTGTTATTATTATTAGCAATATTTATTGAACACAGAGTCATTTTGTCATGATTATTTTTGATGATAAAAATGATCCAAAGATCAGAAATGATCTGAAGAAAAAGCTTTTAGAACAGTATATGCAGGGCTGCTCGATTATGGGGAAAATCATAATCACGATTATTTTGGACATAATTGTAATCACGATTATTCAAAACGATTATCAGTTGAAGTCAAAATTATTTGCCCTTCTGTGAATTTATTTTTATATGCAAATATTTCCCAAATTATGTTTAACAGAGCAATTTTTTTTACAGTATTTCCTATAATATTTATTCTTCTGGAGAAAGGCTCATTTGTTTTATTTCAGCTAGAAAAAAATCTGGTTTAAATTTTTTGAAACTTATTTTAATAGCTCAATATTATTAGCCCCCTTAAGCAATATATATTTTTGATTGTCTACAGAAGAAACTACTGTTACATAATGACTTGACTATTTACTCTAATTAGGGCTTTAAATGTCACTATAAGCTGAATACTAGTATCTTGAAAAATATCTAGTAAAGATAAAAGAAATCAGTTATTAGAAATGAGTTATTAAATCTGTTATGTTTAAACTGGGCTTTAAGCATCTTCACTGTAAGAAAAAAACTTTAACTACAAAAGTCCTTCAGTCAAGAGCAGTGAGTGGATTTTGTCCTTTTGTTGTTTGATTAATAATAAAAACAGCAGCAGGAATATCGCACTCTGTCACTTTAAGAATAGTGCGGTTCCGATATGGTTTATCTTTCACGTGTCTTTTGATTCTCAACTTGTTTGTTTATTACACAAATGAGGATTAATATAAATAATCACTAAACAGTGTGCCTGTATTTGACCATTAAAGTGCTCGCATTAAGATGCCGTTAGATGTGCGTGTGCTCTGCTGTCCGAGGCTAAGCGCGGTGCGCACGCACACACACACACAAACACAGACACACAAACACAGACACACACCCACACACACAAACACACACACACAAACACACACACACACAACCTGTCCGAGGCTAAGCTCAGCGCGCACACACACAACAACATGTGCTCTTTCGCGCTTTAAAAATATGAATGATGCGCATCCCATGCTGCAAAAGTTGCATTACAGCACATGCTTTTAGTCACTTTCACGTGGAACTGGAAAGGAGGCAGTATATGATGGAATAATCGTTTATCTCAATTAATGGTTTTTTATAATCGTTAGAAGCCGAAATCGAAATCGGATTTTCGATTAATTGCACAGCCCTAAGTATATGCTTTTTTTTGTGAAAATATTATAGAAAGTAATACTTTTATTTAGAAAAGAGGCTTTGAGTCCTGTTTTAAAATACAGAAATTCAGGGTTAAAGTGCACAGGATGTTTATGGATGCTGCTTTTCGTTTCGCCACTGAATACTGGGAGACCTGTTCAAGTTGGGGTCTGGTCTAGTACGGAATTGGGGAAGGTGGCAGCTGTCAGTGTTTGCACAGGGTGGGCCATTTATATGGATACACCTTAATAAAATGGGAATGGTTGGTGATATTATTGTCCTGTATGTGGCACATTAGCATATGTGAGGGGGCAAACTTCTCAAGATGGGTGGTGACCATGGTGGTCATTTTGAAGTCGGCCATCTTGAATCCAACTTTTGTTGGTCATTTGACACATTCAACTTATTGGGAATTTCCCAAGAAAAACAATGATGTGCTTGGTTTTAGTGTAACTTTCATCTTTTATGAGTTATTTACAAGTTTCTGACCACTTATAAAATGTGTTCAATGTGCTGCCCATTTTGTTGGATTGTCAATGCAAACCTCTTCTCCCACTCTTCACACACTGATAGCAACACTACAGGAGAAATGCCAGCACAGGCTTCCAGTATTCGTAGTTTCTGGTGCTGCACATCTTGTATCTTCATACCAAAAATCCTGATCAGAGCATCCCTATTTTTACCATTTGTACTGTACTTTGGATCAAACAAATGCAGGATTGGTTAGCAGAAGATGTGTCTTTAATAATACTTTTTTTTAAATTGTAAAATACAGTTCTAAAACTTTGGAGCGGTAGTGTATCTGTACCATATTAATGCAAAAATCCACCTCATAATAATCTGACTCTAAACACTAAACTCCAGCAGAGAGAATTTACAAACACTGACAGTGATCCTGGAGCACATAAGTGGAAAAAACTACTGTATAAAACAACTCAGTGAATCTTTCCTGTTGTGCAGAGACACCAGAAAGCCTGAAAAACAACCAAGCTTTCAGTATATCACACTTGAAAAAAGGTTTTATTATGCATACTTCAAGACTGACTTTACAACTGCACTTTACTAGTGCATTTACAGGACAAATAAAGCTTCAGTAATGTGAGAGACCAGGTTGAAATAAGTCACAAGTTACGCTAAGAACAACCATAAAAGACAATATCTAGATTATACATGCAACTGCACGTTAAAAACTTAATAAAATTGCATTTACAATACAAGCCGAGCTCATAATGACGATAAAGAAAGGTTAAAAGTGGGAAAAACAGACAGACTTTATACTGCAAAAAATACAATTGAACAGACAGCGCATCTGGAAATGATCTTCACTTCCCTCTGATCACATGTCATGATCAACAACCTCACACAGCCGTTTCAAAGCAGCAGATCAGAAACATTTAAGGATCTTTATTTAGTGATTTAAACAACCTGCTTTAGTACTGAACACTGTGAGTAACTGCACGGATATAAAGCATTCCTAAAATCATGAATAAAGCATCTAATTAATCCTTAGCAACTAGCCGGAATATCCTAGCAACCTCATAGCCGAATGCAAATAATACTCAGAAAGTCTTAGCAACTGACATTGGTAACAGAACCAACCCTTCAGAACTGCTAGAACTAAAATAATGATCAAATTAATTTAAATGTAGAATATTTTTTTATCTCACAGCACGTGTATATAGCCAAAAGGTGCTTATTTATTACAGTATAGTGGATTATACTGGAAAAATAAATCTGAAACTACAAAAAATCTGATTTAATTTCAAGTTAAAAATAAAAATAAAATGTGATCATATATATCAAAAATGTGAAGAAATCTGAAAAAAATACTATAACGTTGATTTAATAAACATCTACAGTAAATAAGTAAAAAGCAATAAAATGACAAGATGTTACAAAGTTTCTAAAATATGAATTTGTAAAATAAAAATAAACCACTTAAAAATACTAAAGCACTTTAGTATCTACTAAAGTAACACCACAAGAGGGTTATGCTGAACTCAAAGCAACAAGTGATATAATTTGCACAATTAAAAAAATATGTTTGTGTTGATATAGTGATACAAGGCATCAGGTGGCAATACCCCAGTACTGAAACTGAAAACCAAACCAAACCATGATATTCATGCAGAAAACACTAATGCTTTTCAGAACTTTTGCAGGCTCACAAACTTATTAAAATACAACAAAGAGTAAGGCATAATAATCAATCTGATTATATTTAAATTATTTCTTTCTGCGCCAAGTAATTAGTGCCTGTGAACCCTTTTATTTTAAACATTTTATCAACCATATTAGCAACCAAAGACAAAGTACAAGATTACTCGCTGTCAACTAAATAGTGCCTGTAAACCCACTTATTTTAAACAGTTTAGCAACCACACTAGCAACCAAAGACAATCAAAGCGCAAGATTATTCACTGTCAATTAAATATTGCCTGTAAACCCATTTTTTAAACATTTTAACAACCTTATTAGCAACCAAAGACAATCAAAGTGCAAGATTATTCACTGACAGGTAAATATTGCCTGTAAACCCATTTTTTAAACATTTTAGCAACCACACTAGCAACCAAAGACAATCAAAGTAAAACATTATTCACTGTCAATTAAATATTGCTTGTAAACCCATTTATTTTAAGCATTTTAACAACCTTATTAGCAACCAAAGACAATCAAAGTACAAGATTATTCACCGTCAATTAAATAGTGCCTGTAAACCCATATTAGCAACCAAAGACAATCAAAGTACAACATTATTCACTGTCAGCTAAATATTGCCTGTAAACCCATTTATTTTAAACATTTTAGCAACCATATTAGCAACCAAAGACAATCAAAGTAAAACATTATTCACTGTCAATTAAATATTGCTTGTAAACCCATTTATTTTAAGCATTTTAACAACCTTATTAGCAACCAAAGACAATCAAAGTACAAGATTATTTACTGACAACTAAATAATGCCTGTAAACCAATTCATTTTAAACATTTTAACAACCTTATTAGCAACCAAAGACAATCAAAGTACAACATTATGCACTGACAACTAAATATTGCCTGTAAACCCATTTATTTTAAACATTTTAGCAACCAAAGACAATCAAAGTAAAACATTATTCCCTCACAACTAAATAATGCCTGTAAACCCATTTTAGCAACCAAAGACAAAGTACAACATTGCTCACAGTCAATTAAATAGTGCCAAATTATAGTTTTGAAGTCAAACTTGCATATTATTGCAGGCCGAATAATCAAAGTATACCATGGTAATCAATATGGTGACCTTGTCACAAGTTGTCACTGAACAAATGTGTGAATATAAACCAACTTTATCTCAATCACTGATCGTAGCCCGTTTAATTAACCACGACTAATTTCATATTCGCCCTTAAGGATGATGAAGATGATGTTTTACCTGGATGATGAAGCAGTGAAGTCTCCTCCATCCAGCAATCTGATTTTGCAGAACAAAACTCCATTGACGAAGGGAACCGCTGTCAGCTCCTCCAGAGTAACATGAGTCTGAAACTTAAACTTCTTCTTCTTCACTAAAAACGCCATAAAGTCGAGCGGGGAAATGTTTAAATTCTCCACAAAAAAATCTGCCGTTAAACTGTAACTGTAGGATGAAAAAAGGGTTTAATCAGGCAACGGAAACTCTCTGTGTGGAATCATCTTGACCTGCAAATAAAACACACATATGAAAACAGATAAGCGGGTTAACAAATTGATAAACCACAACTTTAAATGCATCATTTATGAACTTCAATGTAATAAAGGTGGTTGTTTCTTTGTGGAGTTCTTGTCAGGTCAGTTGAGTTCACTCACCCGCTAACGTTAACAGATGAACGCTTCGGTTTTCCTGGCTAAAACTCGAGCAGATGCAAAATAATCAGGGTTTTGACTCAATAGTAGCTTTAAAACTGGACGTGTGGACTCATTTCCTTCAGTGTTTCTGCCTGGCCCGTGTCTGCCGTGTTTCTGGATGTGATTTTTGTCTTCAGCTCAGTTCACTGAAGGGCTGTTCAGTGTTACTGAAGGGATTAGGAAGCCCCGCCCCCTCCTTTTCTCTCTTTCGCTCTCTCTCTCCCCCTCTCTCTCACACACATACACACGAACTCATTCATTTTCTTGTCAGCTTATTATAAATTATTATTATTAATAATAATTATTATTTTTATTACATTTATAAGTAATAATTGAATAGTAATACATTTAAAAATGTTTGATTAATATGGTAAGGTATAGACAAGCAAAGCACTTTGAGTTCTGAATGAGCCAAATAGGCTCGACACGCCTGTTTCCTGTAGTACAGTGTATTAAATAAATATATAATTAAATAATATTATTAATTAAATGTTTCCATGTATTAAATAAATAAAACTGCCACTTTTCTAATTAAATGTCATAAATGAGCAATATTAATATGGGCTGGAAGGGCATCCGCTGCGTAAAAATGTGCTGGATAAGTTGGCGGTTCATTCCGCTGTGGAGACCCCGGATTAATAAAGGGACTAAACCAGGGGTGTCAAACTCAATTGCTGGAGGGCCGAAGCCCTGCACAGTTTAGTTCAACCCTGCTCCAACACACTTACCTGTAGGTTTCAAACAAGCCTGAAGGACTCGATTAGTTTGATCAGGTGTGTTTAATTAGGGTTGGAACTAAACTGTGCAGAGCTGCGGCCCTTTTGGAACTGAGTTTGACACCTGTGGACTAAGCCGACAGGAAAATGAATGAATGAATGAATGAATAATGAAGGAATTATGTTGTCAGATAAAAAAGGTCGCACTTTGTCTTCCTCTAGTGGCGGTAAAGTAAACTAAAAAACTGAGCATATTCATTTTCATTAGCCTTTTCATTTTGCAGTAATGTAACAACTTTGATTTTTACGAGGCTGTTCAAATTAATTGATCACTAAATCGATTTTAAAGTGATTACTTGACTCGACTTTACTTACCTTTTTAATTAATTCATTCACTTTACTTTAAAAAAAGTGAGTTAACCTATTTAAACCGATTTGCTTACTTTAAAGATTTAGTAAACATTTGCTTTAAACAGTTCTAAATTAATCTGGGTTTGCTCATCAACTTTTTAATAAGTAATTAATCTGGCACTTCTGTGTGGAGTTTGCATGTTCTCGTGTTGGCGTGGGCTTCCTCCATGTGCTCCGGTTTCCCCCACAGTCCAAAGACATGCTGCAGGTGAATTGGGTAGGCTAAATTGTCCATAGTGTAGAAATGTTTGAATGAGTGTGTATGGATGTAAAACATATGCTGGATAAGTTGGCGGTTCATTCCGCTGTGGCGACCCCTGATTAATAAAGGGACTAAGCCAAATAGAAAATGAATGAACGAAAATATCGCTTTTTAGAGTGCAATAAAGCCACTTCATCACAGGAAATGCATGCATGATTTGGTGCAATCAATTACAAACAAATGCTCATACATGTGTGGAGAGTTTCTTTATTTAAGATACTTACGACTAAAAAGTCCTTGTCAAAAGTTAAAGAAACAAACGCCTAAACAAACTCATCCAAGGCCTCATCTGTCCTGCAGGAACTGTTTTCAGCAGGTTTCGGACCCTCATATGGACTTTGCATGCAATGCTTTTGTTCATTTTAGGGTCAAACGCACAAAACAATTGCAAAAATGAAAGTGGCTTTTAGATCAACTAAATATAAAAACAAAACCCAGAGTGTGAACCAAACCTGAACAGAAAAAAAGGTCCAGTAAGAGGATTTTTGCACATTTTGGCCACTTTTTAAATGCTAATAAAAGTCTTGATTTCACTTCATCCCTGAAATGTTCACACATACATGTATAACTCTTCGAGGCACTGCTCTGTACAATAATTTACAGTGTATTTTACGCACACACACACACACACACACACACACACACACACACACACACACATGTTGGTATTGTTGGTTTATGAGGACTCGGACACCCAAAGACATTCTCCTGACTATAAGAAAATTTGCATTGATTGAGAATTAGTTAGCAACTTTGCAAATAGTTGCAATGTAACTTAAAGTCAACAAAATACGTTAAAAAGAGCATCAAATTAAAGTGACGCTGATTTCTGTCCTCATAATCCACACTGCAAAACTGATTTCTAATTTAGAGTCTTTGTATTGTATTTCTATCTATCTGCAAACTCTTAAACCAAGAAGCATTAGAATTCAAAAGTATTGTTTTGTTTTTAAAGACTGAGTCAAAATGAAGTGAGATTTCCCTAAAAACAAGCAGTGAAGTGAAATGTGAGTCAAATTAAATGATTTCAAACAAAAAAAAACAAGATTATTTTAAAAACCACAATGACATAGTAATAATTGTCATATTAATTCGGGATGTTTTAAGGAAAATCTCACTTTTTCCTCTCATAACATGGACACTAGGGGACTTTCAATAAATAGTTTTTCTGAAAAACCGTATTGATGGTTAATGTGAGGATGCAGGTTGTGTATGAACGGCTTGATGTAGAAATATGATTTAGTTTGTTTATTTGTGTAACTTTGTATTTAATTTTCTAATTTATTTTGTTTTGGGGGTATTTTGCATTGACGTAAATGTCATTTCTGCAATAATTCAATCTTGGCATTGCTGCAGAACACAAATAAACCTTAAACCTGCTCACTTAATCCCACTTAATTTAAGGAGAAAATGCTTCTAATTTTCTAGAAAATGCACCTTGATTTAGTATGTGGTGGATACTTGGACTAGACGTACACTGTAATAAATGCAGGGTTCCACACTATTCCGTCATGCCGTCCCAACACAAATCAATTAAGCTAATTTAACAAATTTAAGTTCATTGAACATAAAACAATTACATTGTCCCAAAAAATCGTAATAATTGTGTTGTTTCAACTTATTTTAAATAAGTAGTTTGAAAAAACAGCAAAATCAAATATTGTTTTGAGTGTATAGAACATTTCATCCCTATTTATAGTTATAAAATGTCTTCATGACATTTGATGATGGTAAAAGGCTATTTAAGGATTGTAATTGGGTACCAAAACACTTTAATTAATTACATTTACATTTAAATCTTCAGTCACTATATTCATTTGTCAGCAAGATTTTTGAATTGAACATTTAAAATGATTGTATTGTAAAACGCGTCAGAATCAGTAGTTTTTTGTTTTTTTACATTCAGACGTTACTCTTAAATGCTCAACATACTGTACACTGCAAAAAATGCAGGGCTCCACACAATTCCTTTATGCTGTTCCCACACAAATCAATTAAGTTACCGTAACAAATTTAAGTGAATTTAACAAAAAACAATGAAGTTGTCCAAAAACAAAAAACTCAAGAATTGTGTCGTTTCAACTTATTTTAAAATATTTAGTTTGAACAAGCAGCAAGTGTCATTTGTCAGTGCGAGACAAAAACTTTAAGAAATGCAGGATTCCACACAATTCAATTATGTTAACTTCACATATTTTTCATTTTTAGAAAATGCTCCTTGATTTAAGAATTGGTGGATATTTGGACTAGAACTGTAAAACATGCAGGGTTCCATACAAATTCCTTTATGTTGTCCCAACACAAAACACTTGAATAAACGTTATCAATTTTTACAGTGGATTGAACATTAAACAATTAAGTTTTCCCAATAAAATCTCAAGAATTGTGTTGTTTTGAGCTCATTGTAAATAAGTAGGTTTGAACACGCAGCAAAATCATTTTACAGTCAAATGCAGCTATTTTTTTACATTGATTTTGTACATTTCTAGAAAATGCGTCACACTTTATATTAAGTGGCCTTAACTAATATATACTTACACAGGAATTAATAGTTTGTTACAATGTACTTATTGTGCAAATACATGTATTTACTGTGTACTTATGCTTGATTAAATACACGTATGTAATTAAATCTGTAATTAACTTTTGTAACTACATTTGTAAATACATTGTTGACGATCCCTTACACCTTAACCCACCCTTAAACCTACCCATGCAACCAAACCTGTCCATAACCCAACCTCTATCCCAACTAAAAGCACCACAAGTGTTCTCAAATACATTATAAACACAGTAAGTACATTGTATTTATTTTTTTTATGTAAGTACATAGTAGTTAAGGACACTTAATATAAAGTTGGACCGAAAATGCTTCTTGATTTAAGAATTGGTGGATATTTGGACTAGAAATGCACTGTACAAAATGCAGAGTTCCACGCTATTCCTTCATGTTGTCCCAAATTAAAGTGGATTGAACATAAAACTATTATGTTGTCACCAAAAAAAAAAAAAAAAAGAATTGTGTTGTTTCAGCTCATGTTAAATGAACAAGCAGCAAACTCATTGTTTTGAGTGTATAAAACATTTTATATCTATTTATAGTTATAAAATTTCTACATAACATTTGATGATGTTAAAAAACTATTTATGGATCACAGTTTGGTACCAAAACTCTTTAAATAATTAATTTTAGATGTAAATATTTAGTCCCTCTATCCAATTGTCAGCAAGATTTTTAAATTGGACATTTAAAATGATTCTATGCGAGTTAAAATGTGTCAGAATCAGTAGTTTGTTTGTTTTTTACATTACTCTTATACTCTTATATTCAACATAATGTACACTGTAAATAATGCAGTTCCACACAATTCCTTCACGTTGTCCCAACACAAATCAATTAAGTTAACTTAACAAATTTAAGTGGATTGAACATAAAACAATTAGGTTTCCCCCTTCCAATAAAAAAACATAGGAATTGTGTTTATTCAACTCATTTTAAATAATTAGTTTGAACATGCAGCAATAGTCATTTTTTGAGTGTGCGACAAAAACTTTAGGTAATGCAGGGTTCCACACACCTCATTCATGCTGTCCCAACACAAATCAATTAAGTTAACAAATTTTAAACAATATTTTTTTGTTTCAGGAAAATGCTTCTTGATTTAAGAATTGGTGGATATTTGGACAAGAAATGCACAGTACAAAATGCAGCATTCCACACAATTCCTTCATGTTGTCCCAAATTAAAGTGGATTGAACATAAAATTAAGTTGTCCCCAAAAAAATCTCAGGAATTGTGTTATTTCAGCTCATTTTAAATGAACAAGCAGCGAAATCATTGTTTTGAGTGTATAGAACATTTCATCACTATTTATAGTGATAAAATGTCTACATAACATTTGATGATGTTTAAAGACTGTTTAAGGAGTAGAGTTTGGTACCAAAATACTTTAAATATTAATTTTCCATAAATTAATTTAATCGTTATTTTTTACAGTGGATTGAACATAAAACAATGACGTTGTCCCTCCGAATAATCTCAGAAATTGTGTTTCCGCTCATTTTAAATAAGACTGAACAAACAACACAAGTCATTTTGCAGTCAAATGCAGCTACTTTCTACATTTCTAGAAAATGCTTCTTGATTTAGGAATTGGTGGATATTTGGACAAGAAATGCACTGTAATAAATGCAGGATTCCACACAATTCCTTCATGTTGTCCCAAATTAAAGTGGATTGAACATAAAACTATTAAGTTGTCCCAAAAAAGAAATCTCAAGAATTGTGTTGTTTCAGCTCATGTTAAATGAACAAGCAGCAAACTCATTGTTTAGAGTGTATTGAACATTTCATCTCTATTTATAGTTATGTCTACATAACATTTGATGATGTTAAAAAAACTATTTATGGATCACAGTTTGGTACCAACATTTTTTCCATTTAAATCTTAAGACTTAGTCACTATATCAATACAGATGTTGGAATTGAACCTTTAATGTATTTTAAAATGCGTCAGAATCAGTAGTTTGTTTGTTTTTTTACATTCAGACGTTACTCTTAAATGTTCAACACACCGTACACTGTAAATAATGCAGGGCTCCACATGATTGCTCTATGTTATCCTAAAACAAATTAAATTAATTAATTTAATAGTTTTTTTTACAGTGGATTGAACTTAAAATATTAAGTTGCCCCTCCAAATATTCTCAAGAATTGTGTTGTTTCAACTCATTTTAAATAAGTCATTTTGCAGCCAAATGCAGGAGTTTTGTACATTTCTAGACAATGCTTCTTGATTTAAGAATTGGTGGATATTTGGACTAGAAATGCACTGGAAAAAATGCAGGATTCCACACTATTCCTTCATGTTGTCCCAACACAAATCAATTAAGTTAACAAACTAAAGTGGATTCAACATTAAATAATTAACTTGTCCCCAAAATAAATCTTAAATTGTGTTTGAACAAGTAGCAAAAGTCATTGTTTTGGGTGTGAGACAAAAACTTTAAGTATAAGAAAACTAATTTTTTGCAGTGCACCAAAACCAACACACACACACACACACACACACACACACACACACACATGCACTCACGCACTCCCTCTTCTATTGTCCTTCTTCTGTCTGCGGCGGCACATTCTCCGCTCCATCCCCCGTCTCTGCTGCTGTGGCGGCGGCTGCAGTGTTTGTGCTGTTGGCGTTCTGCAGAAACTTCCTCAAGTCCTTCAGCGCGGGTCTGAACATCTGAATGAGGGCCAGCAGAGCGGCCTGCGTGCCCTCCAGGGCCTGAGCCTGTCTCTCCTGAGCGCAGGCCTGGGCCTCCTGCGAGCGCCGGATCATCTGCAGCAGGTCGTTCTGGTTCTCCAGGTGCTGGGCGATCTCCCGCACGTGCAGGTTGGTGACGCGGTGCTCCTGCAGCAGTTTGGCCGAGTTGAGGGCGATTCTGCTCTTCAGTTCCTGCGGTTTGTTGGAGCATTCAGCCTGAGCGGTCAGCATCTCCACCGGAGCCTCTGCTGTTACGGTCACTGGCGTCTCAGTGGTGCAATACTCCACCATTCCCTCCTCCAGCGTGTGATATGTCGTCTCTGCTGCACACATACAGTTGCAGTCAGAATTATTAGCCCCCTGAATACTTTTTTACTCAATTTCTGTTTAACGGAGAGAATTTTTTTAAAAAACATTTCTGTTTCGCATTTCTAGGGGTGTAACGATACACCAAAGGCACGGTTTGGTTCGGTTCACGATTTTAGAGGCATGGTTCGGTTCGGTTTCTGTTTGCTGTGCGGTTCGGGTTGATGTCATCTTAACTGCAATGCTAAGGAACAATAGATTTACTTAATTACAAGAACATATACACTTTTTCCTTTATTAACTTTGCCATTAGTGATGGAAGTTCAGATCATTTTTCTGACTCGGATCTTTGAGGGCTCTATTTTGACGGTCCATGCGCAGAGCGCAAAACGCAGGGCGCAAACGCTTTCAGGGCGTGTCAGAACGCATTTTTGCTAATTTAAGGACGGGAAAATCCGCTTTGCACCGTGGCGCATGGGCTAAAAGGGTTGAGTTTATTTTCTTAATGAGTTAAAGGTGTGTTTTGAGAATAAACCAATTAAAGTCTCATCTCCCATTACCTTTAAGACCCAGCTGCGTCGCGCCATAAGCGCATTTTGACGTAAAGTAAGTTCACTTTCGCTTTTGCTCTCGTGGATAGGGAAACCTTTACGCACAGACATCAATTAGCCTATAAATAATTAATTTCGTTTGTTAAGCGCAAAGATTTGTTTCAAAACTATTTCTAAATTCAGTTCTAATTTCTAGCAAACGAATAAATGAACAATAATAACGAAGTGTGGTCAAAAACCTGAGTTATTTCCAAATACACCTGCCATGCCCCATATGGTCTAAAACCTGACAGGTAGACAAATCTAAGCTTGTTTTTAATAAAACAAATATAAATATGCATATAATAAATAATACTGCTAATAATAATAACATTATACAAAAGCAAATTGAATGAACTGAAAAAGCCTCCCGAGATGAAGAAAGTAAGGCAGTGGTTTTTAAATCTTCATGTAGGCTAGAAATTAATATGTTTTGTAATATTTGAATCATTTATATTTATATCCTGTATATATCCTTATTATATATATATAAATATATATATCCTTAAGATATTTGATATTTTCCAAATGTAAAAATATTTGCGTATTGCTCTGCATCTTGTGTGTAGTGTGTAAGCCAGGCGCACTTTGCGCCAGACAATAGACCCACTTTGTTCTGGTCTAAAGATCAGACTATTTACAGTTTCTCAAAATAGCAACGCGCCAAAACACTCCTGCTTTTTTAGACCAGAACGCCTATAGGCGCACATACGAGCGCAAAGGCATTTGCTATTTAAACAGCGTGGCGCAACACCTCAAAATGACCCTTGCGCCGAGCTAAAAGTAGCAAAAGAGTATTGTCACGTATAATCTTAACCAATGTACACAGTCTGAGCCAATGGGAGCCATGATAATTAGTTCACCTTTCAAGTCTTGAGTCCTTCGTTCATTACGTGACAAAATGACTCAAACCCGATAGAGGACTCGGGAGATGAATGGATCAATTCTTTTTCCGGCTCTAAACGCATATGATTGGCTTCTGCCTTTCCACGATGAACGACTCGAAATGTGATGAAGACTTGAAATGAACGATACCACCTGCACAAATGTGCGCATGTGCGGATGAACAACACTCCCTGAGAGGACTCATAGTTCCCGAGTCATATTAAAGATTCGTTCTAAATGAAAGACCCGTCACTATTTGCCATCACATTTTAGTACAGTCAGGATACCCGAGTAAACAAAAATTCAATAAATACCTCCAATGTAGACTTGTCAGACAAAAACTATTCTCTTTAGTGCAGCCATCTTAACTAAGTAAACTAAAATTAAATAAATAACTGCAGTGTAGACTAATGAAAGATCAACAGGTCTGTCCTCTTTAAGGACATTTGAAATATTCAATTAAGTTTTAAGCTCTTCTTCAAAAACACCGTGATATCCACATTCTCAGGTGAGAGGCTTGATCTCTGTGCAGACACAGACATAGTGATGCTCATTTTTGATTATATAAGTTTTCATTTAGATAGACAGGTTTCCGTTTAATGATAAAATATACATATAATGTGTTTGTAAAGTGTTTTTACATGACATATTCACCAGTAAAATACTTTGCAGTTTTGTCTGAAACTAATGGTATAGTTGTAGCCAGCTGTATTTTTGCCTCCCGTTCTCACTCTCCCGCTCTCTCCATGCCTGTCATTGTATAGGTCTGCCTTCTTGACAGCCAATCTGTCATCATTTGGCGACGTGGCGCGGGGATATAAAAAGCATGTCAGGAAGAGCCGGAGAGAGCTTGTTTCGTGTATTTTGCTGGCATGATTGTGATTTTTAATGTTTTTGCTTAACTTTCATTAAGGCAAAATTATTTAGCATTACTTTCCCCCACATTACTTTTTTTGCCCACTCACAAATTTTTTGTACATTTTTATTTCAATTAATTGTTTGTAAATTATTGGCTCGGCTCTTTCCCGTCATATTGAGCTATACCTCCTCAAGTTCACTCTTTTCTCAGAGTAAGGTGGATAGGGAAGATGTCGTAAGACTTCCATTTTGCAAACACGTAGAAAATGTATTGTTAAAGACATCAGGTAAGAGAGGAACGTCATCTTTGTATTTATTTTATTCTACAGTTCAGTATATGGAGGAATACGGCGCACGGTGCCGAAGAACTTTCTTTTCTTTTCATCAGTTTCTAGCGAGGTAATAGGATATTCATGAGTTAGAATTGTTTTGTTATATTTCTTTCTTTTGTTTGGCTTCACTATCGTCCCCTTACTCTCGAGTTGAACTAATTATCTTTGATACTTTGTTTGAATTTGCTCCTTTATTATATTCAATTTATTATTGTAAATATTTCTCGTTTTTGTATATATTTGGGCATTATTCTGGTTTCACTTTTGAACATTAAATCCCTTTTGTTGGCTATTCTATTGTCAGTCTTTTGCTTACGCCCTCACATTGTGAAATTACCAAACTTTGTAAATGTTATCCCTTATAAGTAAGTTTTGTGAAACAGTTACGACAGATAGTGTGCGATTTGTCCATGACACGAATTCCATTACTGTACTCCACTGGAAAAACAAAATGTTCCCACACAGGCGACTTAAATGTGTCTGGGGGACGCCACGAGAGATTCGCGATACGTATCGCCACGAGAGTTTCGCGATACATATCGTGGTTGCTGTATCGCGATATTTCGATTCGGTTTGTATTATCGTTACACCCCTACTCATTTCACATGATAGTTTTCAATTGATGTTTTACCCAGTTCACCTGGGACATATTAACATAAAACCTGGGATATATTAACGTAAATCCTGGAATATATTAACATAAAACCTGTGATATATTAACATAGTTTCTTACATTTATGTAAAGAATATGTGGTAAACTGTAATCATACCTTCAAGAGTTTTTATCTCACACGCTGATGCGGTCGCCGGCTGAATACCTGTGAAGAGACAATCATATTATAAAGATTCAGACGCATTCATAATCTCAAAATGTAGATTACAACTCTCTGCCACTTGAATTATCATAGCAGAATCTGCAATGTTTAGTTGGGATTTTAATTAACCAGGAAACACAAGCAAAGTTTAACCATACTAGGTGAGGGAATTTATTTTGAAGGCACGTGACTGAAAAATGTCATGCTAATTTAAACTATTTGGGTATGAGAAATGATCAAATATGTAGCTTGTCTTTATTGTTACAATGAAGACTATACTGTGTTATTATACATTTGATTACATTCTTGTTTTACACTTTACCTCAACATTGTTAGACTCTCTAGGAAACCATAGAGCTATCTATTTGATTTGTATGTTGTTTTATTGTTTATGTTTGTAATTTGTTTATTATACTTTACAATTAACACACTCCCTACAAACATATTACAATGCAAAATTATGAACTCTTTACAAATAGATTTACAGTGCATCTGGAAAGTATTGATAGCGCTTCACTTTTCCGACATTTCTTTATGTTATTATTAGCCTTATTCCAAAATGGATTAAATTCATTGATTTCCTCAACAATCCCCCATAGTGACAATGTGAAAAAAAGATTCTTGAAATTGTTTCAAATTTATTAAAAAATAAAAAGCTGAAACATGTGCAGTAGTATTCACAGCCTTTGCTGTGAAGCTGTAAATTGAGCTCAGGTACATTCTGTTTCCACTGATCATTCTTGAGATGTTTCAGCAGCTTCATTGGAGTTCACCTGTGGTCAATTCAGCTGATTGGACATGATTTGATAAGGCATACACTGTCTATATAAGCTCCCAGGGTTGACAGTGCATGTCAAAGCACAAACCAAGCATGAAGACAAAGGAATTGTCTTTAGACCTCTGAGACAGAATTGTCTCGAGGCACAAGGCTGGGGAAGGTTACAGAAACATTTCTGCTGCTCTGAAAATTCCAGTGAGCACAGCTGCCTCCCTCATCCGTAAGTGGAAGATGTTTGGAACCACCAGGACTCTTCCTAGAGCTGGTCGGACATCTAAGCTGAGTGATCGGGGGAGAAGTGCCTTAGTCAGGGAGGTGATCAATAACCCGATTGTCACTCAGTCTGAGCTCCAGCGTTCTTATGTGGAGAGAGGAGAACCTTACAGAAGGACAACCATCTGTGCAGCAATCCATCAAACAGGCCTGCATGGTAGAGTGGCCAGACGGAAGACACTTGACACCTGAAAGGCATCTGAAGGACTCTCAGACCATAAGAAACTAGTCTTTAGTCTGATGAGACTAAACTGGAACTCTTTGGAGTGAATTCCAGGCGTGTTTAAAGAAAAACAGGCACCGCTTATCATCAGGCTAACACCATCCACTGCAGGGATATTCCAATATTAAGTGAGTTTTTCCTTAAAACAAGCAAAATAATCTGCCAATGGGGTGAGCAAATACATCTTGTTTTTTCTTTTGACGTAAGATTATTTTGCTTACCCCATTGGCAGATTATTTAGCTTGTTTTAAGGAAAAACTCACTTAATATTGGCATATTATTTCTCAAAACAAGACAATATGTTTTGCTTGTCTAGAAAATTCTTCTTGATTTAGGAATTTTTAGATATTTGGACTAGAAACAAGACAAAAAATCTAAGTAAGAAAAGCATTTTTTGCAGTGCAGAAACACAAGCACGTGTTTCGCATTTTACTGCATTCGAAAGTTCAAGCTTGGTGAATTCTTACCTGCGAAATCACATCAGGTGACTGCATGAGACCAATAGAAAATCATTTAAAATAAGACATTTAAAATATGGAGCAATCGCTCACTTATATTAATGTCTAATCATATCGTTTAACCCCGCCCCTTTTCACAGCGCCATACGACAGAATTTCGCAAGTACATGCTCTAACGTGACCACAGCTTAAGTCGCTTTAGACAAAAGCGTCTGCTAAACGACTAAATGTGAATGTAATTTCCGTGACTTTTTCTGTTTTTCCAAAACTTTTCCAGGCCTGGAAAATGCCACGTCAAAATTCCATGACTTTTCCATGTTTTCCATGACCCTGTGTGAACCCTGCTTATTAGCTTTTGTATCCTCATTAAAAATACTACAGTAAATACTATGGTGTTTGTGAATCACGCTATGCATTAGTAAAGTACTTGAGCTTATCTGTTTTGGTAATGCTATGGTAACACAACAACTAATATAAACAAATGACTCCATTAAAATGACAGTTTATCAGATAGTTGATACTACTAGCATTCGATAATGAAGTGTTGTATAATATATTCAGTATTTCGAATACTCAAAAACATTAATAACTATACATTGCTTAGCTTAAGCCTTAGCCTACTACAGTGTGTTTTTATGTTGGTAAACAACATTTTAAAGGTAAACTGAGTACAGTAGAATTGCCTTAATGTATTTAAGGTGATAAACATGAAATATAAATTGTGTTTTTCCAAATAAAGAAAATGTTTGTTCCAAGCAAAAAAAATATATACATTTCTTATTATTGTTTTTGTCTTGTTTCTAGTCCAAAAATTAAAAACATATTCAATCAAGAAGCATTTTTGACAAGTGAAAATATATAGTTTAATTTGCATGTTTTCCTAAAAAACAAGCACAATAATCTGACAATGGGGTAGTGAAATGTACTTATTTCAAACCAAAATCAAGACTATTTTACTAAAACCAATGACAGATTAAAAACAAAAACACCTTGTTTAAAACAAAAACTCATTTAATTTTTACTTTATTTCTTGTTTATTCCTTTTAACCATGTTTTAACTCATTTCTATTCGTTTTTAATTCTTATACTTGTGTGCTTATTTTATTATTCTTTATTTTAATCGTCTTGTTTATTTAAAGCACTTTCAATTACAATTGTATATGGAAATGTACTATATACCTAAACTTGACTGTAATTTATTTCTGAAAATAACTATATATGTTTGTTTTTTTTTCATTTACTTTGTCTAGAAAATGCCTGTTGATTTAATTATGTTTAGATATTTTGGACTACAAACAAGACAAAGTCTCTAAGTAAGAAACGCATTAGCGCGCTCAGTTTCCGCATGGTAAGTTGCGTAGGGCTAACGCTAGTGTCTTACTTTGCGTTAAAGTGACGGCGGCTGCGGAGCTGATAGGCACCGCGATCTCCGTACCCGCGTCCGCCGCCGGGAGGCTGATGATGGTCGCTTCGCCCAGCAGATTGCAGATGCGCTGCTGCATGGAGGTCAGGATCACCGGCACGGTGGTGCAGTCGCCCGTGCCCTCCATGGCGGCTCGAGCCTGCGCCACTTTCCGCCGCACCTCCGTCTTCAGATCCGACCATTTCTTCTTGACTTCGGCGAGCTCGCGCTGGCAGGTGCTCACGGCGTTCACGCGCTTCAGGATCTCCATCCACGCGCTGTTTTTGGCGATGTGCGTGACGCCCGCGTTAAAGTGATTCACCAAAATATGCTTCTGCTTTTCCATCTCCTCCACGATGATCTCCACCTCCCTCTCGGAGAAGTTCGTTTTTCTCTTTTTGGCCTGAGATGCCATAACGTTGTAAATTTGACGGATGGAGAGGGGGGGAAATTGCGTAGAATACGTAAAAATAGTACGTTTTTGTCCCAACACTATTGCGCAGCGTAATGGCTTCTGGAATCGACTTCTCTTCCAAAGAGAACGTTCGTGGACGCAAATGGCTGACGGTCCGCCTATTTTCAGATCGGGCGGTTCCTATTGGTTTAGATTCGTCGTTGGCGGTGACGATCTTTCTTTTCATTGGTGGAAAGTGTTGTCAGTCGCTGATACGTTTGTGGTATAATTATTGATGGCCATAGGAGGGAGCTGTTGAACAACAAATTATATATGTGTGCGTGCGTGTACAGTACACACATTTGAATTCAGGATTATTAGCACTCCTGTTCAATCCTAATTATTTTATTTTTCTTCCCCAATTTTTGTTTAACGGAAAGATTTTTTTCAACACATTTCTAAACAATAGTTTTAATAACTTATTTTTAATAACTGATTTATTTTATCTTTGCCATGATGACAGTAAATAATATTAGACTAGATATTTTTCAAGACACTAGTATTCATCTTAAAGTGACATTTTAAGGCTTAACTAGGTTAATTAAGAAAGTAGACAATAAAATAAATATTGCGTAAGGGGGATAATAATATTGACCTTAAAATGTTTCATTAAAAACACTTTTATTCTTGCTGAAATAAAATAAGATCTTCTCCAGAAGAGAAAAATATTTTAATTTTCTTTCCTTCACTTCTCACAAGTTTGATTAAATGTATTCTGTTAAACACAAAAGATGGAAAGATAATGAGAATATGTTGGTAACCTGTGACTTCCATAGTTGGGAAAACAAATGGTTTTGCATTTGAATGATAATCAATGGTTACTGTGTTTCCAACATACTTCAAAGTTTCTTCTTTTTATATTCAACAAAAAAAAAAGAAACTCAGGCAGATTAATAATTTAGAAACATTTAAGATAAATCAAATGTTAATTTTTGAATGAAATCTTTTTAAAGACAAATAGTGTTTCAAGCATCAGTAAAAAAGTTAATTAATAATCCCCAATGGGTCCTGTTTAGCATTTTCAGAGCAGAAAACACCATAACACATAATCAGACATTGTTAGCATGACTTGGGTATTAGTATGACTACAAATCCTGTCAGTAGTTCTACAATAAAAAAAAAAAATTCATTCATTCATTCATTCGTTTCCCTTTCTTAGGCTTAGTCCCTTTATTAATCAGGGGTCGCCAGCATATGTTTTACACAGCGAATGCCGTTCCAGCTGCAACCCATCATTGGGAAATATCCATACTCACTCATTCACACGCATACACTATGGACAATTTAGCTTACCCAATTCACCTGTACTGCATGTCTTTGGACTGTGGAGGAAACCGGAGCACACACAGAATTGCCAAGGTTCGAACCAGCGACCTTCTTGCTGTGTGGCAATCGTGCTACCCACTGCGTCACAACATCGCCAGTAAAAAAGCATCTGAAAACATATTAATTTTTCATACTTTTAAATATAATTCCATTTAGAATGGTTACTCATTAATATTAATATAAACTATTTAATATTTTCAGGGTGGCATGGTGGCTAAGTGGTTGGCACTGTGGCCTCACAGCAAGAAGGTCGCTGGTTCGAGTCCCGGCTGGGTCAGTTAGCATTTCTGTATGGAGTTTGCATGTTCTCCCTGTGTTGGCATGGGTTTCCTCCGCGTGCTCCGTTTTCCCCACAAGTCGAAACAGATGCGCTATAGGAGAAATGATGAACTAAATTGACCATAGTGTATAAGTGTGTTTTTTTTTTTTTTTAGTTTAGTTTAGTTTATTTTGTTTACAGGGTCAATGCACATTAATAAACAGTACTGTAAAATGTGCCAGAATTAGCCAAGAATGGCTATTTTTCATCCGTGTGTGTGTGAATGAGAGTGTATGGTTTTTTCTCAGTACTGGGCTGCAGCTGTAAGGGCATCCGCTGTGTAAAATATTTGCTGGAATAGTTGGCGGTTCATTTCACTGTGGCGACCCCTGATGAATTAAACTAACTAATTTTAATGCATTACAAGTAACTTCAATATGGACTCTTTTCACAAGACTATTATGACGTGCTTAACCTCCTAGGGCAGGGGTGTCAAACTTAATTCCTGGAGGGCCGAAGCCCTGCACAGTTTAGTTCCAACCCTGCTCCAACACACTTACCTGTAGGTTTCAAACAAGCCTGAAGGACTCAGTTAGTTTGATCAGGTGTGTTTAATTAGGGTTGGAACTAAACTGTGCAGAGCTGCGGCCCTTTTGGAACTGAGTTTGACACCTGTGTCCTAGGGCTTGAGTGTCCACATACGTGGACAGCACATTTTAGCTCTTAAGTGGCTGTTTAAAATACATTGAATGTTTTATATTTTGTTACAGACATACAGTGTCATCCTGCAACTGTTTTGCAGTAAATGAAATGTCCCAAACACTATTTTTAACTGTCCAAAATGGGCAAAAAAAATTAGTTTTTACTCTCTGATAGTCAAAACATGTAAGAAAAAAATAAAATCTATGTTAAATATGCATTACAAAACAGTCAGGAAAAAGTGTTTATGTAAATTCGGACCACGAGTCCCCACATATATGGACATCATATCAAAAGATGATACTTAGATTTTTACTCTAATTAGGTTCCAATAAGCCCAAATAGCAAAGAGAAATTAAAAATGCATGTAAAAAACACCTTGGGCCTTAAGAGGTTAAAGGTAATCATAGTCTTAAATGCTTGAAAGCTTTTAATATTTAGATTTTTTTATGTACATTTATATGTATTTAAGTATGTAGTATTTCATCTTTGCATCAAATAACAAAAACCAAATGACCAGTCGTGCGGGGTGTTTCTAATGCTGCGTCTATGAGGGCAGGACAGTAAATCTGACATTGCTCTCTCTTCTGGCTGCCGTTACCCATCTCACACTATTGTTTTCCTTCTTCTGAAAGTCTTGATAACACCGTAGTGGAGTTTTTCCTTTATTATTTCAACAAATCCCTGCAGAAAAATCCACCTTTAACCAGCCTAGGCTGGTTTAAGCTGTTTTTTTCAGTAGGGATAAGATTGTAAAAAATGATTTGTTGCACTCTTCCTTTCACTGTGCTCTAAGTTTCCCCAACTGTGATGACACCTGCTGCTGAGAAACCCAGAAAAGTGAAAAGGCTCCATTATTACTTAGTTTTTTTAAGTATTGCATTACTTTAACATGCATTACCCCAGACAGTTTTGAAGCAGCAGATTGTGTGCTTGCGTTCCTCTAATGAACAGCAGGTCAGAATACTTTCTGGACTGAACTTGATGACTAAAGAAGCCAGAAATGTCACACAAACACAAGCCTGCACTTCCGGCTGTACATCTCAGACTGTTGACAAAACAAAGCAGGCTAAATATAGTTATAAGAACACTGACAGGACCGATCCGGCATTCACAAGCTGGTGCCAATGTGTCTGTAAAGATGTGACCTGAAGATATTGAAGACTTATAAAGCGGTCAGAAAATAGAGCTTTGAACCTCCTGTAAATAACGAATCTCATTAAAAAAGGCGGTATATTTAATAATGGCCTGAAATAGATCAGGCGTGACCGATTGTTCTGAGAATTCAGACTTACAGAAAGTTACGTTCTTCGAATAAAGTCACCTATTCATATTAAATATGTTTGCTTTGCCAGTCACATGAGCATGTGATGCATCTCGCATGTGATGTTTGTAGCTCAGATAACAGTTTTAATAGTGGTCTGAGGTTGCACGGTGGCTCAGTGGTTAGAAGGTCACTGGTTTGCGTCCCGGCTGGGCAAGTTGGCATTTCTGTGTGGAGTTTGCATGTTCTCCCCATGTTCGTGTGGGTTTCCTCTGGGTACTCCGGTTTCCTCCACAGGAATTGGGTAAGCTAAAATTGTCCATAGTGTATGTGTGTGAATGAGTGTGTGTAGATGTTTCCCAGTGATTTATTTTGTCAAATCCTTGGTGAGCTGTTCAGTTCTATTCAATTCAATTTCTCCACTTAGAAATCTAAATCTAGAATTTATTTGATTTGTCCATTAAATTTACAAGCATTTACTTGAGCATTAAAACACAACACAACTGAAAAAATGGTGTAACACACCCATATGTGAAGTTCCTTCATGTTCACAGTATCTCAGCGCTCATATCAGCGTGTCTTATATTGATGAAAGAACGAGATGTATTACAAGCGCAGCACATGTTGTTCATCAGATTCTCCACTTTAACCTTCAGAGTGTTCTCATACCTTCAGATCCGAGTCACATGATCACGACTGCGTTTCTGAAGCTCTCCATCTTCATTTTCAGCTCTTGCTTCATCTTGCTGTCCATTCAGTGCTGTTCATGATCCTGGCAGGACTCTGTTTCACTTTTACAGCCACGAGGACTCAAACAAAACACTTCCAGACTCCTCAAGCAAATCTCTGAAAGAAAATCTCAGTGAGGGGATCCCTATATATACACTGTAAAAAATATTCATAAACTAACAATTTTCTGTGCGTTTATCATTCATTCATTCATTTTCTTGTCGGCTTAGTCTCTTTATTAATCCGGGGTTGCCACAGCGGAATGAACCGCCAACTCATCCAGCACGTTTTTACGCAGAGGATGCCCTTCTAGCCGTAAACCTATCTCTGGGAAACATCTACACACACTCATTCATTACGGACAATTTTTAGTTTTACCCAATTCACCTGTACCGCATGTCTTTGGACTGTGGGGGAAACCGGAGCACCTGGAGGAAACCTACGCTAATGCAGGGAGAACATGCAAACTCCACACAGAAACGCCAACTGAGCCGAGGCCCGAAAAAGCGACCTTCTTGCTGTGAGGCGACAGCACTACCTACTGCGCCACTGCTTCGCCCACAATTAAAATTAAATTGTACAATTTTAAATACAAACTCAAATAGATCAGTAAAATTGTTATGATATAAATAAGGGACTAAGCCGAAGGAAAAAATGAATGAAATACTTTTTGACTTTTTATCTCGAAAGTCTGACTTTATGAGTTAGATTTGAGACTTTTTAACTCAGACTTATGACTTTATATCTTATATTTGTGAATTTATATAAAAATTCTGACTTTATAACTTGCGAATTTGAGTTTGCATCTCACAGTTCTAAGACAGGCCCGTGCAGAGACTGGCGATGTTGTTGTCGTACTGAAGACAGTGTTGTCGCGCGCGGGAGTTGTCGGGGGGGCGGCGCACGTAAGAGCGTTGTTGTCGCGCGCCTACTGAAGGGCGGTAGGGGGGGGGGGTCGCGGGGGCACTTTTGATCATTTTGGAAGGGCACTTTCTATCCAAACGAAAAAGGACAGGTTGAGCCCTATGTGTGCACGTGCCTGTTCTAGGATAAAAATAAATACCATTTTTTTATTATTATTAAGTGGCAGGAAAGGGCTTGTTTTCATTTCCTTCAGCTTATTCCTTAAATTATCAGGGGTCGCCACAGCAGAATGAACAGCCAACTTTTTAGCATATGTTTTATGTATGGAAAACATCACTGG